TCTTGAGCAAAACCAGCATTCAGTTAGGAAATCTCGGCTGTCCTCTCTAAAATAAAATGAACTCCGTTTAGAAACAACCAAATTTCAGCTTTATGACCCAGTGAGGTGCGACACAATCCCTCCCTAGTAGCAGTTGTCTCACAGAGAGCCGGCTGAGAGCTTTTTTGTAGCGCAGTGAACTGGGATTCTTCAATAGCATCAACAAATACCTTATTATAGTATTAACAGTTATAACTATTTTTATACTGAAAGCGCGGTCGTCAAATGTCGAAATTAAATGAAAAGTAGGCAGCGACAGCAAAAGCTGAGAGCAATAGAATATAAAACACGAATAGGCTTTTAATAAACCCCAACGAAAAATACATAACACCAGTGTAAACAGTTTTCATATCATGAATCAGATTCTGTGTTGCCGGCCAGGTCAATAAAGTCAAAGGAAACACAAGATTTAATATTCTGTCATAGTCATCCTAAACAAAAGAAAAGTTCATTCAATTTCCATGTCAAACTGTATGAGAACTCAGAATCGGGCACTGCCTTAAATTGCATCCATTAATCAAAATCCAGTATTTGAAAACGCATAATTTCCTTTCCTAGCAGCCTCCGAAACCAAAATCCGCCCCGTGAGCCGCCGCCGGATAAGTAGAAGGTTGGTCTCCCAGGGTCCCGCTCGGTGCCGGCGCTGCGCGGGACGGGACAGTCCCGCACCTGGTACTCCCGAGCAGTTTGTCTTTCCAGAGAAAGCACCTTTCCCTTCCTCACCAAATCTCTTTGCTTTTGAAGGAATAGGAATTAAAAGGCGAGACAGAGCATGTTAATTTGATAGAACTACCACTCAGCCTCATTTTTCACCCTCTCCGACTCCCCGAATAGGAAAATATTTGGTTTTCTGACTCCCGGGGGTTGATTTCGTTGCTGTGCCATCGGAGGCAGTTTCACTGTTGCCTTAACCAGGACAGCGGCACGCCCAGAGTCTCTCCGTAGCCCTATCTGGAATGCCACTGTTCGGGGGGATGCCGGACACATGTCCGGCGGGGAG